AATTATAAGCCAAAAAATCATGATTCTCATTTTTTCCAGAATCGTGCAGCCCTACCCTGATATAATGTAGGGGAAACACTGAACAGTTCAGTCACTGAACATTTATAATAATGAACTTTGTAAGAATAGTTAGTGTGATTCCGATACCCAGCTTTATGAATTATCTGTGTTGCTCTTTTTTGGAGAATAGAAAGTGAATGCAGTGAATTTTTGTAATTGTTGCCCCAAACTCTCTGCACAGTATTTTAGATATGGTAAACTAGTGAACAGTAGAGATTGTGTAGTGACTAGGCTTGTGCTGGTTTGAAAATTCTCCAACCGGTTTGATTTAAAGCCAAATATCTAACCGAACCGATATATCGAATTATATACCTAATTTTACCACTGGGGGTCGCAGTTTTTCCCAATAAAAGCCCATTATAGGTGTAATGCTCTTCCAATCCACTAGGTGGCGGTAATGCTGTATTAACCGCCAAGACACACAAGGTTACACAAGAAGAAGAAGAAACAGAAGGACACCAAGATGTTAGGGCAAAGACGGTGGATAAACCAGTAATAATAGTAGTAATAGTACAGTGTAGTATATACTGTATAGTACAGTACTAATCCAGTATCTTTGGTTAGGGTAACAAACTGAATGACTGCTGACTCCCTCGCACTTTTCCCGGCCCCCAATGAAATTTGATCTCTCGCAGCAGCAGCAGACAGCTGAGCGGAGCTGCAGAGTCCCTCTGCAGCCTCTGAGACAAACTAAACAAAACACTTGTGAGCTCCTCCACTTCATTTATAAACAAACATAAACCTTATTAAGTTGTCATAATGCATGTTACAATGCAAGATAAGTTGAATATAGTCCCTTGACATGCTACCGCCCCCCCGGTTTATCCGGTTGACGTGAATTAAACCGGGTGGAGCTCTTCAACCGGACCAAACCGGGTTAACCGGACATCAGCACAAGCCTAGTAGTGAATTGTGATTTCCAAACCTGCTTCACTTTGGTCAAAATTGAAATGCTTCTTGACAGTTAAATTTGTACATGAGTGATGTGTGTGTGGATTTTGTTGTAAAATAATGAGGTATTGTGTCAATTAGTCCTCCTTTCAACTTCATGAATCAGCTGTTTTCATCCACTGCAGCAGTTCAGTGATGGGAACAATCTAAACAGGACATCATATAGAAGTCCGGCTCTTAATGGCATCCCGCTTTGCTCGTGGCAAGTTAGGTCACCCCTTCCACTGGCTTCAAATTCAAAATGTTATTTGCACAGTTTTAGTTTCCTTTAGAGATTAACCCTGACATGTCTCCTCTAGTCACGCAAAAAAACAAATGAACTTTTGAACTATTGAGATCACGATTATTTATCATGATTATTAATTCATTTTAGGCACAAAATAATGTTACTGCGCTGTCAAATAAACAGCGCGCCTTTCACTCCCATGCTGTGCTACATTCCTGCTAATAGCCCCTTTTCCACCGCAGGAACTTTTATCATTTACCCGGAATTTTGAAAAACCTCGGCGCGTTTCCACTGAAATTACCCGAGGGGAAAAAACTTCCCCTCAACCCCAAACTTTCCCTGAAAAAAGTACCTAGTAGGGGGTAGGACTTTTCAGATTCCCCAGAATTCTTGAGGGGCGGGGCTGTGTGCTGAAGAACTCTGATTGGTGGAACACACACTTGCAGCGTTCCGCACAGTGTGGCTGCAAACTTTATTTAATTTCTACAAGCTTAACTTTGTTTGTGTTTTGATTAAGGATGGGTACTGTAACCCGGTACTAAATCAGCCCTGGGGCTAAATTATCAAAGACCGTAGTATTGATAAGCGCAAACGGTATTGGTTCTTTTGTGCCAGCGCTGAACTCCTCCACATACACACACACACGCCTACGCGACATGGTAACGGGTGAACAGCTGAGCAGCCGTGGTGGAAACGAAGTGAAGATAACTCGAAAATGATTCGAGTTGACAGCAGCTACACTCGTTGCTGTAAGTGACATTAACCATTGGCGAGTAAGAAGCTAATACTTTATTAATACATGTGTTCAGCAAGCATGAAAATGTAAACATGTAGACAGCAGCGATATTCAATATGCTCCATCCACAGTCTCTCATCCATGACTCTAATGTTATGTCTTACACAAGGACAGCACGCTAGTTCAGCTAATAGTGAATTGTTACAAATAAGCTCAAATGACAGCTGTCTGTATGTAGACTAACTTAGTTTGACACTTATCTTAAAATACTTTTAAACTTAGCTGCTGGCTGAGACAAACAGCCCTTATTCTCTCTACCAGCACTAATGTTACCATGTTACCAGCCAATAAGGTGGCGGAGCCAAATATAGGGCACATGCTGAATCATCTACGTCATCAGCCTGATTTGAATACATTTTCCGGAACTTTGAGGTGCGGTGGAAACGCAAACCACACAGATTGCCGGGAATTCTTTTACCCAGGTAAATTAATTCTTTGAAATAAAAGTTCCTGGAAATGTTGGTGGAAAAGGGGCTATTGATCAAATCTTTGGAGCATAATTTGTCTGGTCCTTATTCACAGTGCATCTCCATTAAAATTGTATTCAAACTTTTTACCTTAAATTAAATCAGCAGAGCACTGCTTGAACTTTACTTTGCACCTGAATTCAGTGCATCTGCTAGAAGCAAAATATAAATAAAGATGTACCAATTTTCCATTTTTAATGGAAACGCCTTCAGTAAAGGGAATTGCATCAATTATTTCTGTCTGTCTCGGGTAACTGGTTGAATTGGGTGATGCACTGTACAGTGTAGCTGTTATGGTGTCTGAGTGGTGGAAAAGGACAGGGACTCAGTGAGGTAATGCAAAGTAACATTGGTGATGGATGATGACCCGTTCTGAGGGCCTAGCTCTTTGCCCTCTGCTCCAAGGATGTTGTTTTGTCTATCTGCTCTGTTGTATATTACTCTTTTTCTCTAGATTGCAGCTGCAACATTAAATTAATTTAATTTATTTTAATTAAATCAGCAGCATGACAGTCCCCTAAAAAGGGAGGCTGACCGATAGTTATATCCTTTATATTCATAAATTTAGGCACATTGTATGACTCTAAAATACAAGGTTATTGTCTACCAGTGATCCTCAGGGACCCATTCCATACCTCTGACACCGCCTTAGTGCACATGCTTCGGAGAGCTGGGGATCACAGTGGGTGGTCAGGTGTCAGACCTGGGGGAAGCACTGGAACAAAAAACTGACACATCTGTAGCAACTCATAATGTAATAATGGCTCATAATGTAATAGCGCTTCATAATGTAATAACAGAAATGTAATAGAAGTTCATAATGTAATAATCTACTCATAATGTAATAAAATCATGAGCGTGTAACGTAATAACAGCTTTGTGCATAATGTAATAATGTAATAACTTACTACATTATGAGCCTTACTGGCGCCGCTCATAATGTAATAACAGCTTATAATGTAATAATGGCTCATATTGTGAGAAAAGTGTTGCATTATCATCATTTTTAGGTCAAAACTGCACACACTGACAACAAGAGTGCACTTAAGGGCAGAGGTTTGTGTTTGACTATGATTTGTTTATAGGTGGCGCGACAGTAACCAACTCAAAAGCCGGCTGGAGAAGAGGGTCTATTAGGGAAGAAGGAGGGGGACTGTAGTTCATGTAGTTCAAAAGAGCATTTCCTTTGTGTACTATTGCTACAATAAATGCAGGACACAATAACTTCTACAATAAAAACACATTTAAGATTGGTCTTTTCAAATAAGTAAGTGAACGCTCTGTCCTTCCATACAACCTAGTGAAGACCTTCCAGTCAAAATGTTGTTGTTATTGTTGGTCTTAATGCCAATTTAATAAAGACTTTTAATAAGCATTGTTTTCCTACTACTTCCGTTAAATACATGATAGCAGTGTAACATTCATTCAGTTTACTTTATTTTGGAATTTGTGCAAGAATGAGAAGAGCGTTTTAGAACCATGTAATAACAATAAACCAGCTCAAAAGTTCTTAAAATGTAAACACAGGGATTTAAAAAAAAAAGAAAAGAAAACTTTACTTCTTCCAATGAATGTCTTTAATATGGACCCATCCAAAGGATATATGTTTAGTCACGATCTAGGCTGTAATCCACCTGGCATTTTGGCTGAAGAGCTGCCTGATATTAGACGCAAGGCCACTATTGCGTCCAGCCACTCTGTATAACCTACTAATACTTATACAGCAGTCTTCATCCGTCACAATATTTAAACTTTCCACCAACTGCTTACTTGCAACAATCAGACAGTGGAAGTGAGCATGGCATTCTCAAAGGCCCAAAATACCTAACACGGGTGCCACCTAGTGGCTCAACCTTATACATCTTAAATAATAAAATGTGAGAATGCAATTACGATTAAATAATTCTTGGTTTCACTAATTTAGTTTACTATGCGCTGAAAGCCATGCCATTTGCTTTATTTGCACCTTTAAGATGTAAAAATGATGATAATGCAGCAGTTTTCTCACGATATGAGCCATTATTACATTATGAACTGTTATTACATTATGAGCGATGCCAGGAAGGCTCATAATGTAATAGGTTATTACATTATTAAATTATGGGCAAAGCCGTTATTACGTTATGTGCTCATGATTTTATTACATTATGAGCCGATTATTACATTATGAACTTTTATTACATTTAAGTTATTACATTATGAGCCGTTATTACATTATGAGCCATTATTACATTTTGAGTTGCAACATCACTTACAGTTTGATAATAGCATTAAAAACACAAGTTTCACTACTAGTGGTTTCTGTGACACAAGAAATACTTAAGTCAAACAATGTCACTGTTTAATATGGATCTGGTTTTCACAGTGTAATAGGGAGTCCCTTGGACTCGTCAGTAGTGAGTTTAATGCATCCTTTCAGATTTGAATGTGTCAAGGACACAGGACATGTAGCTGGCAACATCATTGTATGTGAATGTCCTAACCACTTCTTTCTCATCAGATGTGGAAATGTGGCAGCCATCTTGGAGCTGGATGAGCATCTACAGCGGGAGTTCATCATATTTGAGGCAGCGCCGCAGGAGACCAGAGGCATCCCCTCTAAGAAGCCAGTAGCTGACTATTTCCTGTGAAGCCTTTGAGAAGACGGCAATGATGTGTTGAAATCTCTGGTACAGTTTCACACCAGCTGCCCTCCATCCTGCTGCAGGACGGTCCTGTCAGTCTGAACTCAAAGCAGTTAGACAGAAAACCTGCCAAACCCTGCAAAGCTTCATACAGCTTCAGCTTAAAGAGCTGGGTTTTTGCCGTACTGCCTAAGGCTGACAGAGCAGTCATTGTGAAGGATGTATGGGCGAGGTGGATACTGGGCCCATGACTGTTGTCACTTCTCCTCATTTTCTCCCCTCAGCCTCCTTCCATTGCTTTCCCTCTCTCCCTGTAGATACCACATTTGACCTCTACCACTCTTTTAGTATTTCTCCAAGACAGACATTGTCATTTAGTTGAAGAAGTATATGGAGAGAGTTATATCTTTTTTTTTCCTTTTCTTTTCTTTTTTTTTTCAAAAATGTGCAGATGTAGAAAGTTTAACCATTTTATCATTTATGAATTCCTTCAGTGCATATGTTGTCTTGTTTTTGATTTTTGTGTAATTGTTGCTACCAGGATTAAATGCAAGATGACATATTTCCTCACCCCCTTTTTGTTCTTATGTTTAACTGTCATCTGTCATGTGCATCACTAGTTAACATGTGCTGCTGCTCTGCACCATCACAAATACCAGAAATGTAATGACTGGCCAACAGAAATCACTATATTCACTGTATTCTCTCTTAATTCATTTAAATCTACAAATCTCTGTAGGTCTGTCAATTTTGATATTGTGAGAATAAAGTTTTTGTATCAATGCTGATTTCTTTTCAGGTGTGGTTTAATGTCACATGCATACTAACTATGGCTGCAAATTAGGGGTGTTCACAAAATCCTTGTTTTATATTTTCAATTTTATTTTATTTTACTTAAGCTACAGTACAGGCCAAAAGTTTGGACACACCTTCTCATTCAATGCGTTTTCTTTATTTTCATGACTATTTACATTGTAGATTCTCACTGAAGGCATCAAAACTATGAATGAACACATGTGGAGTTATGTACTTAACAAAAAAAGGTGAAATAACTGAAAACATGTTTTATATTCTAGTTTCTTCAAAATAGCCACCCTTTGCTCTGATTACTGCTTTGCACACTCTTGGCATTCTCTCCATGAGCTTCAAGAGGTAGTCACCTGAAATGGTTTCCACTTCACAGGTGTGCCTTATCAGGGTTAATTAGTGGAATTTCTTGCTTTATCAATGGGGTTGGGACCATCAGTTGTGTTGTGCAGAAGTCAGGTTAATACACAGCCGACAGCCCTATTGGACAACTGTTAAAATTCATATTATGGCAAGAACCAATCAGCTAACTAAAGAAAGACGAGTGGCCATCATTACTTTAAGAAATGAAGGTCAGTCAGTCCGGAAAATTGCAAAAACTTTAAATGTGTCCCCAAGTGGAGTCGCAAAAACCATCAAGCGCTACAACGAAACTGGCACACATGAGGACCGACCCAGGAAAGGAAGACCAAGAGTCACCTCTGCTTCTGAGGATAAGTTCATCCGAGTCACCAGCCTCAGAAATCGCAAGTTAACAGCAGCTCAGATCAGAGACCAGATGAATGCCACACAGAGTTCTAGCAGCAGACCCATCTCTAGAACAACTGTTAAGAGGAGACTGCGCGAATCAGGCCTTCATGGTCAAATAGCTGCTAGGAAACCACTGCTAAGGAGAGGCAAGAAGCAGAAGAGATTTGTTTGGGCCAAGAAACACAAGGAATGGACATTAGACCAGTGGAAATCTGTGCTTTGGTCTGATGAGTCCAAATTTGAGATCTTTGGTTCCAACCGCCGTGTCTTTGTGAGACGCAGAAAAGGTGAACGGATGGATTCCACATGCCTGGTTCCCACTGTGAAGCATGGAGGAGGAGGTGTGATGGTGTGGGGATGTTTTGTTGGTGACACTGTTGGGGATTTATTCAAAATTGAAGGCACACTGAACCAGCATGGCTACCACAGCATCCTGCAGCGACATGCCATCCCATCCGGTTTGCGTTTAGTTGGACGATCATTTATTTTTCAACAGGACAATGACCCCAAACACACCTCCAGGCTGTGTAAGGGCTATTTGACCAAGAAGGAGAGTGATGGAGTGCTGCGGCAGATGACCTGGCCTCCACAGTCACCGGACCTGAACCCAATCCAGATGGTTTGGGGTGAGCTGGACCGCAGAGTGAAGGCAAAGGGGCCAACAAGTGCTAAACACCTCTGGGAACTCCTTCAAGACTGTTGGAAAACCATTTCAGGTGACTACCTCTTGAAGCTCATGGAGAGAATGCCAAGAGTGTGCAAAGCAGTAATCAGAGCAAAGGGTGGCTATTTTGAAGAAACTAGAATATAAAACATGTTTTCAGTTATTTCACCTTTTTTTGTTAAGTACATAACTCCACATGTGTTCATTCATAGTTTTGATGCCTTCAGTGAGAATCTACAATGTAAATAGTCATGAAAATAAAGAAAACGCATTGAATGAGAAGGTGTGTCCAAACTTTTGGCCTGTACTGTATATAGAGCTCAACAATGTGGTTCTGGAAATAAAAATCCGATTCATTTTCCCCATAGAGAATTTGATTATTAGCCATAATATCGTAACCATCCAACATTAACTTACCACTAGCTGAAAGGTTGTGAAACGATGGTATATGTTCCCGTAGAAGCCACGAGTTTGCATTATATCAACCTCGTTTAAAAAAAACAAACAAACAAAAAAAAACACGTTTTATTAGCAATGTCACAGAGAAGTGGTGATGAGATTAGGTGTTTGCTGACATATTGGATGTCTGTATGGTTGCAGCAGTCAAAAAAGAATCCAGCCTGTGGCCCTTTGCTGCATGTCATCCCCCTCTTTCTCCCCCCTTCACGCTTACCTGTCCTGTCCATTAAAGGCAAAATGCCCAAAAAAAAACAAAAACAAAAAAAAAGCCCATAAAACTGGCACGGGGGTGGCCCACCCAGCCAGAACCTGACCACAGCAGAGGAGCTGGCACTTGATTTGAATGAAGAGAGGCCAGTGATGGATGTGATCCAGGGAAGGACTGTGACAGACTCAGTCCCTGCAACAGAAAGTGGCTGCTTCATACAAGGTACATATTGCAGTACTACTGCACATGGAACACAATCAAAAATATTATACTGTCTGACTTTGGATTTCCTTGCAGTGTCTGGGGACACACTTCTACTTTTGGAGCCACCAGAAGATGATCTGGCTATTACTGTACATTTTATTGAAATCACTGGCTTGGCATGTCCTGTCAAAATTCTTAATACATGTTCTCTTGGTACATGTATGTATATGGCAGGGGGAAGGCACATCTGCAGCTGTAGAATGCACATCTGCAGATGAGGAGACAGTGTCACTGGACTCCAGAAGGCTTGAGGTATCATGTCAATTCTGTGGAAATATCCTGCTTATTTAGTCCATAATGGATATGAAGTCAGTGATGTGGTGCTAATAGAAAATGTTATGTGTGTAACAGGACCCAGACACTGCACGGCCTCAGAAGCAGCCTGATAACATGTAAGTATTGGCTAAAGTAAGTCTACATTATGCACAGATCCTGCTGTGCTAACTGACATTTCTTTTACAGAATTCACTGTCAGAGTTCTATATGGAAAACATCTTGAGAGACAGATAGAGCTGGCAGAAGTAAAAATTCAAGTGGAGAAAAGACAGCTGCAAGAAATGGAGCTTGATCTTGAAATTAAAAGAAGGACCCTTGTGAAACTGGACCTAGAAATCCAGAAATTAGAAAGTGAAGTGAGTATTTCAGTGCACACTGTAACCATATCTGTAATATAGTGTATTAATAGTTGTTACTTTTGCTTTCTATTTCAGGTTCCAAGCAGACAAAAGAGGACTGGGAAATAAAACAATTGAACGACAAAACATTGTGGTGTCCTCCCTTTTTCATGAATGTGCGGTATACCATTGATTTGGTGAAGTGGAATTTAAAAGATAACCACACACTGTGTGCTACCAATGCCAGGTAAAATGCACATACACAGCAAAAAGTAACATAAAAGATCCTTTACTGAAGAGAGGCTAAATTTGTTTATTTAACCTAAGTGGAAAAATGATGCAACATATTTAGAAAAACCATGTAAATGCTGTAAAACACATTAATTTTTCACATGATTGACAGTTAAACTTCCAGATGAATCTCTAGGATTAATCTTAGCCTGGTTGTTAGCCTGGTCTGGAGCAGGCTAGCTGCAGAGAATAAATCGCCATAGTAACTTGACCGGGTTAAATTTGACCTGCTTTCATGCAACTGACTTGAGGCTAAGTTCAGCCAGGATAACCAACATATCCCAGCTTAATCCCTTATCTTGGTTTTGTGCAATATCCCTCTGTACTACGAAGCCAGTTCAACTTACCTAGGATATCTTTTCGTTATCTAGGTCAACTAACTCTAACAATCGTAATCAAGCTAAGTGGTCACACGACGGTGGTTATCAACTTGGTAAATCAACCCAGGTTTTCCAAATCTAGTTATAAGTGCATTCACATAAAAGGGGCAGTATTCGCAGCATGTCGCCAATCACAGCCATGGAAAAGACCCACAGAGCAGCGTACTTCACTCAAGAGGAGCAGACAATTATGCTTCACAAATATGAAGAATTCAAGCATTTAATCCAAGCCAAAGGTAACACAGTAGCGGCTGCCAAAAGTCGGAAAGACGGCTGACAAAAAGTCGCAGACTGTGTGAATGTAATTTAAAAGGTTTATACTGTATATCTTATGACTTACGTATATTGTGTACTATACAATATCATAACCTTATTTAGGATATGAGTAGATTTGTCTGTAATTATTGTGCATTCCATTAAATTGATGTGATGTGTAGATGGTGTATATGACTTTTAATACTGTGAATTTTAAATGAATTTTAATCTCGTTCTTTAAGTTCTAACCCCAGCGGTGCGAAATGCACATGGGAGCAAATCAAAAATAAACATAAAAACATAGTTCAAAGCGGTAAGAAAACTTATTCTCATGTTTTTATGTAGTTTATGTTTTTTTAAGTACAGCAAATAACATACAAGGCTTTAATGCCTCGATCACTCTCAGTTGTTGGATAATATCAGTACAAAACAATAACAATCTGACATTGCTTGCAGCCAACAGGAAGAAAAACAAAATAAAGAAGACAGGAGGGGGCCCTCCTACACAGGATTTTATTCCTGCTGAGGAGCTGGCCTTCTCAAACAATGAGGGTCGCTCCTTAATGGGGGGAGTGGAGGGGGGAGTCTCCTCTTACCCTGTTGGAAGTGGCAGCTCCCAACACCCGCATTTGTACAAGGTATGTGTCTGTGGGTAAATGTAAACTACTGGGTTGCTGATAAAATACAGTTCATTAATATAGGTGCAGTATTGTGGGCATATTTATCATGTATTTCTTTTCTGTACAGTTGATGGAGACATTAGTGTTGCTGCCACCTCCCACATACACACTGTCTCGTACAGAGGTAACAGTGGAAGCAACAAGTCATATACACTGGTATGTCATCTGTGGTAGCTGATCAAGGATTAAATGGGCCATTTGTTTTCCCAGGTGGAGGACCCAGATGATGAGACGGTGTCTGTGTGCTCAGTGAGAGTTTTGGGGGTACACTTTCAATTTTCAATTCAATTTTATTTATAAAGCCCAATATCACAAATCACAATTTGCCTCACAGGGCTTTATAGCATACGACATCCCTCTGTCCTTTGGACCCTCACAGCAGATAAGGAAAAACTCCCCCCCAAAAAAAACCCTTT